ATGTTTTGAACATTTCATATTTTTAATTTCATATTTTTCAATGTTCAATGTTTTAACTTTTATTGTATGGTATTAAGCACACATCATCGTGTTTCTTATTAATTTATTGAGTAACTGTCACTTGGACAATGTTTATAATGAGGTAAGACTACATTTACACTATATATAGAGAAAATATAAAATAAACAGAAGCGAAGTAACAACTAAATAATAATCAAAAATTATATACAATAAATAAAAATAAAATATCTTAAAGATATGTAAATTAAAAAAAAAAAAAAACATATATGCTTATATACATTGCTGACAATCAGGCAAGGGAACTTCTAGGCAGGCTCGTCCTTCCAACTGAAGAGGGAAAAGTAGGACTCCAGGAGATCCCTATGCTACTTCCTCAGCCACGTCACTGGCACTAAAGCAAGTGGAGATTGAACAAGAGCGCTTCAGCCACGTACAACAAGCATGTTGCATCAACGAGTGAGTATGTTCGATGCGATACTAGCATATAAATATTGAGAAAATAGTAGACAGTTATAGTAATAGTCAAATGTAGTAGTTGAACTAAAATTAACTGATACGTGAAATAGAAAATATATGATGTACAAATTAGGAAAGTATAAAGTAACGGTAACAAAGCTGGGACTTAGTAACGGTAGCAAAGTCAGGTTATATGAAGTAATATCTTAAAAATATTAAGATAATATCAAAATTATCTTAAAAAATAATACTTTTGCTAACATTTATCATCTTAAGTTATAATGTGCAGAAGTGTTTTTACAAAATCCCATTTTCGTCATAGGAATTTGCCATCATTGTATAAAGCGTTTTATTTTTTTTATTTATTTTATTTAAAGCTTAAATTAAATGTTTCTTTAGTCATCGCCTCCTATTCTACAAAGACGTGACGACTTGATTAAAAAAAAAAAAAAAAAAAAAAATTAATATCCAGTTTTTCTATGCCAAATCAGACTTTCATTTTCTTTCTTTTATTCTTCTTAAACTTTCTTTTACTTAGATGCTAGTAGATAATTCAATATTATTAAATTTAGAATACTGAGTTTATAAAACTGATTCTGATAGTATTTGGACCGAGAGGGGAAGTTGAAAGAAGCAGGTTATAGCGAAGCGGCCTTTTGTATCAGGAGTTCAGTAATCTCCTGAAATTGGCGGACCATACCTCTTCTACAAGGCACATATCCTGTCTCTCATTTCTCTAGGATAGTACTTCTTCCTTTCATCAAATCATTCTCTTGTACTTTCTCTATCATATTTATCTGAAACAATCCTATAAATGTCTTTGAAAAAATCTAATATTTATGAAAAACAATGCCTACCACATGTATACCTTTTATTAGGTAGGACATACATAAACACATAATTTAGTGAAATTATTCACAACTTTATACAGTTTCAAATTCAATTTTGTGCTTCTTTCACAATCCTAACATAATGTCATGGATGTTGAAACACAAAAATCACATTAACGTATTATGAACTAAACATAAAAATAATAAGCACTTCATAGCACATAATATAAAAAATCTATATATTTCCAAACATAACTTGGAGACATACCTAATTTAAAAAAACTACACAAGTAACCAATGATAGCAAATGTCAGTTTTAAAATTATATAAAAAATAAAATAAAGAAAGTAAATTATATAATTTATATTTATGATACAAAGGATGCACAAGCGGATCCAGGATTTAATTTTGGAGGGGCTTCAGCCCGAGAGCTTTTTTTTTTCATAAAAATAACGATAATTACTTTGGAAAAAAAAGAAACTAACTACCTATATGAAATGGTGTTTAAGTGATTCCTAAAGTCATTTTAAGTGTAATTACACGAACAAATAACACTTTAAGATATAATTTTTTAATATTTTTTTCCAAAAAACATGGTTATATTTTACCATTTGGAGGAGGGGGGCTTCAGCCCCAATGCCTTCTCCCCGTAGATCCGCCCGTGAAAGCATGTGAATAGATCATTAGTGATTATGGTAAATATTACACGCATAGGCGCAGACTTTCAAATTTGACTGGGGAAGGGCGATGGACAAAAAAAAAAAAAAAAAATGGCGGGAGTTTTTATTATATGTTAAAGTTCAACATAATTATTGGGAAACGAACAAACATGAGTCATTTCGGCTTTTTTTAAAATAAAAAAAAGAGGTTTTCGACAGTAAATGGCTAATGATTAATCCCTATCTCAATTAGAACTATTCTTTAACTGCCTTCCATCCTCCTCCTAATCAAGTCCTCTAATCGACAAGTTCACGTGGTTCTAGTTTTGGTTTAATCGTTCGGAGAAAGAAACGACTAATAAGAGTGAGAAAAAATGTTATTTCCATTTTGAAGGTTACACACAATTTACCTTGGGTCATTCGGTACCGTATTGGTTTTCCAACTTGGATAATTAAAGTCCTCCCACACGTTTTTCATTTATGCAGGAAAAAAAAACAAAAGACATTTTAGTTCAGGAGTTTGAATTTAAAACATATATACTTTTGATTATATACTCCGTTTCTATAATATAAGTAAATTTTCAAGTAGTTATCCAGTTGAAATACCGTAAGCACTCCTACCCTTTACCACAAATTGAATGAAACCAGAATATGTTCATTTAATTTTAGTTCAGACGTTTAACAGCTGTATTACTTTACAAATTGATCATGTTAATATTCACTAGAGGCAGACATTGCCCCACCAATGAGTTCCCCCTAAGCACTGTTATTACGACAAATTATGGTCTTGAGGATTCGAATATTTTACATTATTTCGTTAATACCTGAAGCACGTATCTAAGATTAAATGTAGGGAATTGCATTTGATTAGTGCGCCATGCTCACGAGAATTCGTGGAGTTGCTGGTTTAGTTACCATTCCCGTTATAGGATCTTATGTTTTATGCCTTCTGGCGCACCTCTTCATTTTGGATCAACAACTTTTATCTAAAGGTTTGGATGTTTTGTTGTTACCGTGAAAAAAAAAGATACATAAAAACATTATTGGATTTTTTTTTAATCGTCGCTCCCCTCCATACCTATAAAAATCGCCAATTCTACCACTTCCTATCCACTCAGCTCCCAAAAAATTGTAAATAGGTATTACTTTAAATATTTATATAAATTATTGGTTCGATTTAATTAACATTATTTTTTTTCATTTATTAAAACTATAAGGCACATTATAATTTACTACTATTCAATAAAGACTACTAAAAAAACAGCTTATTTTTAACGATTTATCCCGGGGCCTAAAGCTCACAATTCATTTAAAGAGTTTGAAGTTTAAAGAGTTTAATGGTTCTAAAGAGAATGGACTAGAACGGAAAAAATACAGAACTTATTATTAAATTGTTGTATATTGTATATTACATAATTATTAGTTGTCCTAAAAACATTAAGGAGACAGACAATCCATAAAACCAATATACAATTATTAGTTATTAGGGAATGGCAGAAATACTTTTAAAAACTGTTAAATAAAGACCGGAAGGATTTTAAAAGAGGAAACTGTGAACATGGCAAGACGCAACATGGCAAATATCCACGGAAGATGTAAAAAAGGCCTTAAAATCTGGCAAGAATGGAAAAGCTGCAAGACCTGGTGGAATACCTCTGGAACTCATAAAACATGGTGGTGAAAAATTGGCAATAATTCTCACAGAATTAATAAATAAGATCTTGGCTGGAAATGATCTGCCCAATGAAATGAAATTAGGGTGTCTATGTCCCATATATACAAAATTTAATATAAAATTATGCATAAACTGTAGTGATATCTATAGTTTGTGTGTCACCAACCATTTTATGAAACTCCTAGGAAGAATTGTCAAAACTAACTTAGAAAGGGAATATAAGGGTACAGCAGACCAAAGTTGCTTTACTGCAGTAAGATCGTGCATCGATCATATTTGTACAATGAGACAGGTATTTGAAAGACACCATGAAAAATCTAAAGATGTGGAGTGACAACATAATGAAATAAATATAAACAGATCCAGATGGGAATCGAACCCTTAAACGCTTCTGAACACAATAAAAAAAAACGTGTAATAACCAACTTCAGAAAAATGGTAAATATCTCAAATATTTTTAAACATATAGGTATATAGTAACACAACTTTAAAATATGGGTTTAAATTACAATTATAATAATTATTTACATTGATATATTTGCCTAATGGTCAGAATAAATTAATCAAATGAGTCTTGATTGCAATTTATTGAATGTTTCAGGGAATCTACGTCCCTCTCCTCATATCATTCTCCTAAGAAGTTGGGTAAGTCACAAAATTTTAATGCAATAGGATTGCTTCAATTTGTTTTTATGTCGCTGCTGTTAGTTAAGGTCGTGTGTGAAAATTGAATTTTTTTACAGAAAAACATAAAAACTGAATATTTCTTAATGCTTTATGAGTATAATTTCAAATTTAATTTCCTTCGAATATTTTTCATAGTATAAAACTACTAATTGCAGTTGCAGAATACAAATGCCACCTTTAGCACAAATAGAATAAACATGGAAAATTGTTACATACGATCTTTTGCACAAACAGGTATTATAAATATTATAAAACATTACTGTTATATAACATATTTATATTTTCAGTAAATATGACGTGAATGTGCTCTTTCATCACTATTATCGTCGTCTTCAAATGAGACAGAATGTAATATTATTCAATGAAAAAATATCAAAAAAATCCTCTCTTATTTGTTTTATATACTTATTAATCTTTGATACGTCTTTTTAATCTAAATTTTATAATTTTTTTTTTCAAAATTATAAATAAAATGTCTCACAATTATAACTGATATTCACAAATTTAAAATTTAATCTTTGATATATCATTTCAAAATACTTTTCAATTTTAACCTCCAGAACCAAAGTCTATTTTTAATGAAATTTTCAAGCGGTCATAATGAAACTAATAAATAATACAAAATATGAAATACAAGGATTGGTTTGTATAAATATGTATTTAAAAACTCACTCCTTTTGGCAGATATGGCCTGGAGAGAGGCAGTTATCAAGTCACATAGCCCCTGGTTTTCGATAACGAGCTTGTCACGTTCTTCTAGACCGCTCACTAAGTTGTCGCCAGCTTCTTTGAGGTGCAAATTTAATCGGTTGACGATTCTCTCGATTTCGGGAACAGCTGAAAACATTTTTTACTTTTAATCGCAATCAGAGACTGGATTTTCTTGCTGTAAAAATATAAAATAAAACTACATTTTCGATTTTTCAATTCACACTCAAATTTTAAATAATTGTGCAGCAAATATAAAATTGTAAACATAACCACCACAATTATGCAGAAATCATAGTTTTATTATATTAATACATGAAACCTTTGTCTACCCTCATGTTAGAGTTACTGCTTATGAGTTAAAATTAGGTATTACGTTGAATAACCTGAGAAAACTAATTTAATAATGAACTATGATAAATTTATAATTTATAACCTTGTTTTTATCAAATTATTAATTACCGGCTGAAACTTCGTAAATAGTTTCATCCCATCGTAACCAACAAACATTATATTTACGCAAAAACCTTGGAATTGGGGCGTTTTCAATCTGGAAAAACTTTTTCTATTTAACTAGGTACTAAAAACAAGTAAATACCCATTTTCCTTCCACTTTAATCATGAGAAGACTTGAGCACAAATTCGAGAAAAAAGATGTCCTTAAAAAATATTAAGCCGTTTGGCCTATATAACCTCGTTATTTTGACAATTTGGGAGTGTAGGTCACGCTAAACGGCTCAATTTTTTCGAAGGCCAGCTTTTTTTCTCGACTTTGTGTTCAAGTTATCTTATAATTAAAGTGGAAAGTAAATGGGTATTTACTAGTTTTCAGTTCATAGTTAAATAGACAAAGTTTGGTTTGCACCAAGATTGCTTTGCAGAGTTTGCAATTTTTCATTTCTATTCTATTTGTTCTAAAGGTGAAATTTTGTAGTCTGCAATTGCTATAAGTATTCTGTTATTACAGAAAATAACAGAGTTGAATAAAATATGAAATTATACTGATAAATAATATATAAATCATCAGTTTTTCATGCTCTGTCGTAAAGAACAAAACACAATTTTAACATACGACCTTTTACAACAATAACAGTAGCGATCTGGTAGCATATTGCTTATAAAATTGAACATTTTTTTACGCCAAATTTATATCTGAGAAATGAGGTGAGTTGAGGAAATAACTGCATGGCTAATCCAAAAAAAGTGAAAAACTATAGAATTTGGTAATAAATTCAAAGAGAAATCAACCAAAAAAAAAAAATAAATGATATATTATATATATTTATATACAATAGTAATGTAGCAACCTTTTATGGTAGGTTTCGATGTATTTCAAATTAATTCATTATTCCGAAAGTTCATCATTCTAAAAAAATTGTTTAAACAAATTTTCAAACTGTTAACAAACCAAAAATTGTAATAATAAATTTAAATCAAATATAAAAGAAAAAAATTATTTTAATGAGTAGGAGAGATAGTGTTTTTTTCGGGAGGAGGGGACGGGGATTTAAAACGTTTTCGCCAAATGACATTATCATTTTCTTTTTAAGAATCTTCCACATTAATAAGTTTATTAAAAAAATAAGTAATCCTTCTAGTGAATTCCTTTTTCGCCATAGCCCAATTTTGTCAGGAAGGAGCACCCAATTTGTGCCACAGGCATCCGTAGTCAACATCCTACTACAGAAAATAAATAAAAGAAGCAACAAAATCGGTTCACTAGATTCCGAGATAATCTTGGCACAGGCAGACCAATGGCTGAAAATGGGTTTTTCGGGCTCAGAGGTCTGTAAAACGTATAGATCCGTCGAAAACCGCATATCGGAAATTTGTCCTGATCACAATACTTCCTTACCTAGTATAGGTAGGAAAATAAAAACGCCTAATATTTATTTTTATAGTAAACTTTCGTCACAGAATGTAATATGCCACTGTAAATACTGTTTCCATATAAAAAAAAGTTAATAAATTTAGTGTCGATATTTGTTTTTTAAATAATGCAACTTTCTTCAATGCCTCAACTTATATCTTAAAAAATATATTGTATCTTCAGTGTTAGGCAATATGCACATGCTATTTGCTGTATTTTATATACATATTTCGAATACGCGATTAATATTTTGCCACGGTGAAGAAGCAAACAAAAAAAGCTGTTTGAACTAGTTTGAGATCCATCTAAGAAAGGGGTAGAGCAAGATATCACATCTAAAAGGAATTTTAGAAATGTTTCTCCATAGACCAGAAAAATATTGCTACATTTGATAATGCCGCCCATTATTTATTAAATAAAAATTTAATTTTTATTAGTGAAGGTTTACACAACTCCTATTATATACATATTTGCCTGGAATGGAAATAAACACTGAATAACTTTAACATTCCTTGAGGCGGAAAAAAAAAGAAGGAAAACGAAGGATATTAGACCATCAGAAACAGGAAAATGGTCAGATATCAAATAACTTTGCTGTTTTGTTTTTTCCCTTCTTTTTCTATCAATATTTCATTTCATAATAATGGGAGAGAGAAATATTTGGTTTAAAGCAGTGCTACCTTAATATATAGGGTTGCTCAATACAGTGCAAACGCATCAACCTTTTTTTTCTTTTGGACATAACACTTAATTATACTTAATCGCATATTTATATATATACAAATTCTTTTTCACATCACACAGCATAAACAATATCAATACTATAATATACCAATACACAAGAAAAATTATAAGATTTTGATACTATTTTCGAAACATTTATGATAATACTTAATTAATAGTAAATGGGTTATTAGGATAGCAAAATCAAACCTGTTGCTTCAGTACGAGAGTACATTTTCGACCCCTCTACAAATAGAGACATGCAAGGCACTCCACCTAAGAGATCATCAAGCACACGACTTCCTATTGGGCATACTGAAACGATTTGATAAGGCAAAATACATTACACTAACAAACCGTTTTTTTATTTTTTTTTTCAAGATGTTCATTGTTCACAAAACTGATAATTAATTTTATTTTATTTCATATAAAAAAACGTAATTGGAAGAATTCGTATCAAAACAGCCATAGGACGACATGCTGTCACGGCGAGTTTCTTGTAAGATACAATTTTTTTTGTATTAATTAATACTCTTTTATATATACCATGAAAATTAATATAATTGTTAAATAAATGAAAATAAGTGTTAATATTTGTTTACTTCTAATTATACTCGTTATCACCACTTTGATCCAATTACCTTACATTATTATAGACACTAACAGTTTGCTCTTCACGCCATTAAAATAAAGCAATAAAATAATTTTTTTTAATTATAATTTTCTATTGATTCGTTAACATACCTTATTATAATAGATATAATTTAGGCTAATTTTCTGAAGTGTTCACTTATCATACCATACTATTTAACCAACTATCTGTCTTACGTATAATTATTAAAATTTCTTTTCTACACTCATACTCCTAATTTATTTTCATTTTGTATTATCTAAATGCAAAAAACCCTTAACATAAACGAAACTTTATTCACAGTTTTAAATGTTGTTGTTTTTTTAAACTAAGATGTACCCCAGTAACCTTGAAATGGGGTCTAAGTCATGAAAAGGGTCTTGCAACGAATGTGGGTAGGTTTCTTTTTTTTTTCTTGTATGGGATGTGACGCAGATGCAAAATCCAAGTTATCAACCTCGTCGCCCTTCCCCTCCCCTCTTCTCCGAGATCATTTTTTAACACCCCAAAAATTGATACATTTTTCACTATTTCGACTATGAAGGAGCATGTTTTGACAAAAAACAATCAATACAGTTTTAAGCTAGATTAAATATTCTACAATGTAATACCAGAACAGGATCAGTAAATCAAATAGTATACGAGATACAGATTTTCATATTTTATACAATTTTAAACAATTTTTCCTGTTTGATCATATGCACTTGTCTTTATATCTTCAATAACCTGTCTTGTATGATCTCAGTGAAGTAAATTTGTATTTATTTTAGCAATTTGAAGGATTGGGGAGGGAGGAGGGGAGGTTTGTTGATAGAGAGAGAGAGAGAGAGAGAGAGAGAGAGAGAGAGAGAGAGAGAGAGAGAGAGAGAGAGAGAGAGAGAGAGAGAGAGAGAGTGAGAGAGAGAGAGAGAGAGAGAGAGAGAGAGAGAGAGAGAGAGAGAGAGAGAGAGAGAGAGAGAGAGAGAGAGAGAGAGAGATCACTTTTCACAACCAGAAGACTGAAATTTAAATAAAAAATTATTTAACCAACATTTACGTCAAGTGCATACTGAAATAGTAAATGAAGTGAATGAAATTTTCGAAACTTGAAAACGTTAAGCTAATTTCATGTTTATATCCTCAATAACCTACCTTATAAGAGTTAGTGAAATCAATATTTATTTAAATTATTATTTTGAAGGAGTAGAATACGTGGATACAGGAATGGCTATAAATAATAAGAGGTACAAATAATTGATAAAATAAGTGAGCTAGAATGGCCTGTCATTTAATGCATTTTCTAAAAAACTATTTCAAATATATTAAAAATTAATCAGTGATTTAGAAAGATAAATGTATTCTCTGGATGTTTTATTTCAAGGCGTTTTTCGTTATTGTTGGCCGTATAATTACAAATGATACTTAATTTGCGACTTTAATTTGTACGACTTAAACAATTGAATTTACTGGTATTTTTTATTGCCAAGGACAATTATTTTTAAACAGTTTTTGATTTTTATTACACTCTGGCTATCCAGCTTTAATAAAAGACCAATTATGACGAAATTAAGCCAACTGCTGAATCTCAGTGACCGAAAAACTAACTCAAGTCAAAGTCGTTACTAAGCTATGTTTGGACGCCTTTTTGGAACAGTTTGGGCTCTTTTTTTGTGGTAACATCACATTTTATTTAATATATAGTCCCCCAACACTCCTCCTTCAAAATATTAAAATGAATAGATATTTACTTCGCTGGCTCATATCAGACTGGTTATTGAAGATGGAAGACAATCGCATATCATCAAACATGAAAAATAATTTAAACGGAAAATAAAATTCTCCGATTTTTATAAAATTTAAAATTTGAAAATCTATATCTCGTAAACTATTTGATTTACTGAGGGCTGTTCTGGTGTTAAATTGTAG